GGAAAAGGTATAAGTAATGGTATAGGTAATGGTATGTAAATATATAAGAAAAGGTATTGATACATAGATATATAGGTATAAGTATTGATATATAAGTATACAGAAATAGGTATAGGTATTGGTATATAGGTACAATTGGAAAGTCAGAAAATCTGAAACTAGACATTTTGATTCTTTTGGTAGTTCCGGTACTAAGAAAAATCTCAATCTAATTATCCATGTTCAGATTAATGCACGCAATATTATTTTTTCATTCAAGTCCAAAAAAATAAAAAAATAGGAGTTTACATTGTTGTATATCTTATTTTCAAACTATTTCTTGCATCAAATTATATTAACATTCAACTATCAGCTAACAAAAAGAAGCTGATAAACTGGCTCTTACATGTTTTACTATGAATATCTGCCCATTACTGAATCAAAAATCTAACAATAAATTAATATACCAGTGCTATAGCCATTGCACTGCTATAGAATCTGGCTGGAAAATTCAATTTTATTGACATTTTCGACTAATATCGTGGTGACCTAACTTTCTTGCATAAATAAGGAGGATGTAATAAGATGCAATGGTTAGATCTGTAATAATGAAGTTAAATAAAGCACAAAATATCAGCTCATGCTTTTGCAACAGAAAATAGAGATTAAATTATATGATGTTACAATATAATAGAATGAATAACTTTGATTTTGCAAACAAATTTAAATAAGAATTATTTATACATTACACATTTTTATTCTATATAAATTTCAAAACAATTCATTCTACAACAATATTCACAATATTAACGTAATTAATATTACATATAAATGAATAATAAGAAATAATGTATAATAAATAATGTATTTATTATGAATAACAATATTGTATTCCACAAAAATATCCCATAACAATATCCGTATATCATTAGAAGAACTTTGCTGAAATTGTGCATTAAAAAAAGCATTGTACTATATGTATGAATTAAGATAAACATATTTTTAATATGTTTTCAGAAGCACTGCTATGATATTTTATATAGCGATCTTTTAATGTATGAAAAAAAAAAAATATTTAAAAGTCAAATGTTCTTAGTAACAATAACTTTTTCTTTATAAAAGCAATTGTAATTCAATTGTAAAAATTTATTTAATATCAATAATGATCTATTTTTCGTTAAATATCTGGATATAACAAATTTCAACAAATACATAAAAACATTGTATATTCCTAAGCACTGAAAAATTAAAAAATTTGTATACCTGCAGCAATTTACAGATTTATAGTAGTTTAAACTTTCTTGAAAAGCATCATCTAATTTATGAATTATTTGTAACACCTCAAAATAAAATGTTTAAAATATTTAAAAGAACGAACTTATGTTAAGATATGTTAGTTTTATATATTAAATTTATTAGAAATATAAATTTATTACACATAAATTTTAATATTTATGCAGTTTTGCAATAGATATTTACTTGTAATTGCTTAGTAATTCTTAACTTCATCTATTCAAATCACATTATTTATAAAAAAAATAAATAAATAAAAAGATTTAATATTTTACTAAATTATTATTATACTATATTATAACAGTTAATATAATATT